AGCATAGGGAGGAAAAAAATATGGGCAAAGGGGTGTCCCTGCCTGCAGTTCCAGGTTATTGACCCTGTCCCTTCTCTCCCATGTCCTAAAACAGCTTCACGTGAGGAACTGACCCTATTGCTATCTTCCCAAGACCTCAAACCTGGTCTTGGAGTTCCTCCAGCCTTTCTTCACAGATCTGAAGAGCTACAGCAGCTATTCAGTGAGCCTGCCCACGATGAGTGAGCAGACAGGCTGTGCATGGGGGGAGCTGCCAGGCTGCAATCAGAAGCCATGAGTAGATGTTTCCTAAAAATTTGATGATGGGGAAAAGAGGGACCTACATATCTTAGCAAACCTGCAGGCTGTGCATGGGGTGCTGGGGATGAGGCCCATGTAAGCCTTGTCCTTCCAAGGCAGAGTGGTGAGACACATCACACTCACTACTCCAGAGTAGTACTAGGCCGACCATGGACAACAGTCCTGGTAGGTTGTTGTGTGAGAGAAACACCCCAGAAAGCGTATTTTTTTGCAATTCTAACAAACAGTGATGCTTTGAAAGGAACCCTGAAACATCTGGCCTGGTGAGGGGGAGGTGTGAGCGGTGGCCACGTGAGTTGCTTGGGTGTTGGTGCCTGCCAAGCACAACATTCCTTCGGAAGCGCGTGTGCCATGTCCCTTCCTGCGATCCACCGCTGGGGAGACTAATCCTGTGATGTCGTTTTCCATGAGGAAACGGCATCCAGCTCCTGCTGGTTTGCAGAGCAGTGACTCAGGCAACGTGCACTCGCCCTCGCCCGCAGCTGGCATGGCGCAGGGAACGTGAGACAGTGTCTAGAAGATTTTGCCCCCGAATGGGTCATCTTCTGATCTGTAAGAAGCTGCTCTTTGTGCATGGCAAACCACATCCTCAAAGGCCAGCCCAGGCTGCTGGGGCACGACAGAGGAGTTTTCTTGATTTATCATTCCTTGTGTAGTTTCTGAACTTGGCAGCAAGAAGGTGGTTAGAAACAGTCCAACCTCTTGTATCTCTGTCTGACAGGAGCCTTTAAAACAAAAGATGAAAATGGAGGTCCCCACCTCTGATTGTCTCAGCTGATGGGGAAGAGAAAGGGAGAGATGTTATCAATCATTAAACTAAATTCATTATTGCAGTCCCCCCAAATCTTATCATACTTATCAAATAGATAGTCATGATCAACACACTGGGAATCTGATTGCTTTAACATTTAAATATTTAAACATTTGGTGACATTGTTTGCTAGTTTTACTTAAGCAACATAAACCACTTTTGCAACTATGCTACTGCCAGGAGATTCCTTCCAAATGGCAAATCCACACATGCAAATGTTGACTTGGCCCTCAGTCTCAAGAGAAAAGCTTTCTGTGCTTAAGATATTTCTTACCAAAAATCATGTGGTCTACTCAATCTCAGGAAGCACAGCTTTGTATTGTGGCTTACATGCTGGACTGAAGCGGGGGGAATGTGGGCATGGGGATACAGAAAACCACTGGAGTAGATTAAAAGCCCAAATTGTGCCAAACAAGTCAGATCTTGTGCAGTTTACAGCCTTACCCACTTGTAGAGACAGGTCCAAGTCGATCCCATGTCCATGCTGTCAGAGTTGAACACCCCCCAACCAGGTTCTTTTACGTATTATGCACGAGGACAGTTTAATGTTTAATATCAAATTTCCTTATTGAGCATATTTGGCATTATACAGGATTTTGATGTAGTGGAGGGATACACAGCAGTGTACTGAAACCCCATCACAAGCATAATATAACATTTGCCACATACAGTTGAATCCCAGTGCAAACGTGGTTGTCGTTACTGGTCTCTACATGCTCATTGTCACGATGCTGGGCCTCCCCCGTTGCTGGGAAGGAATATGTTGGTTGAAACCATTTCAAGCCCATTGCTCCTTCAAACTTTTTTTTATTTGTTGTCCCAGTTTTATGCTTTCTGTTGGGCTGAGCCACATCTAGGCTGTTCCCCTTGCCTCTCATGCTGGTCTGGCTTGCTCAGTTATTTGTTAATTGTCTGAGGGAACCCGATGATTCACTGGTGCAGCTGTCTTATCTAAAACCATGGTAACCCTCCGGTCTCCCTGGTGTTGAGATAAGAGCAGCCTTCTTTACCGTACACTATTCCTCAAGCTTATTGTCTTTTTACCCTTCTCCTCCGATCTCTCCTCCACTGGGGGGGTTTGTTGGTCTGCCAAAAGTGCTCATTGCAAGGAAACAATTTGTTTCTTTCCCCCAGCAAGTCTAGATGAAATCTGCTGTGTTTTCAGCACAGCAGATGACAGGAGCAGGATAACAGTGCAGAGCAGGGGGCTGTACAACCTGTCTCATTCACAAAGGACAGATCGCAATTCAATTTTTCCTTTGAAAGTGACAGAGAATATTTTGAACAGGGAATGATGCACCAGCTGCCAGTGAGTGGAAAGCACAAGGAATATGAAAACCTGTCCAATACTCATACAAAATTCAAAACTACTAGTTTGAAAAATATTAATACCTTTCCAGAAGTTTATTCATATATAGTCTCAGAATACAAGGCCCAGCAGTAAATTTTTTGGCTAATACTGATCTAAAACTTGAAGCCTGAAGTTCTATTAGCATTTCTTCCATTACGTTCTTTAAAATCAGGATTAAATTAATAACTGTGTATTCTAATTACCCTGAGGTTGTTGATAGAGGCACAATACCCTACAAGAGCCCTATCTTATTGTGTTACACTTTAAACAGATATGAAAAAAACATAATCTATTGAGATGGTAATTGTACCTAGATGATGCAAAACCAGAATATAAGCAAGACATCTGAAAACTTACAAATGGAAACCAAAAGCTGAGTCTTAAAATTATGGGGATAGATAGCAAGTGTTCTCAGTACATCAAAAGCTTTGTCATTTGCCTCTGTCTCACTGAATTAAATCTGCCTTGATTGCACCTTGTTGTGAATCTGCCCTTAGCCTACAGTCCAGTGTTCCAACTGAACAAAAATGTAAGTGTTCTTGTTTGAGCACTGTCACTAGTAAGTATGGGCAGGGGTTGTGGAGCAGAGAGAGAGGGGGATTGAAATTTTGTGTTCTGCCTGTAGTGAGACATTAGTAACTGAAGAAAAGAAAGCCAGGTATAATTAAAAAACTCCAAAACTATTCTGAAATCCTTCCTTAGGATTTAGGATCTCTATTTACAGCAGAAAAGGGTTGAGTTTCTTTACTGCTTTGTGACCTGTCAGTGCTGTATAAGCAAAAACTGTAGCAAGCATAATAAATTTTTAAAGCCCCTCTATCATACTCAGTTCCTCCCAGGCAGAGAAAGGAGGTATCCTCAGGACTGTACCAAATCTAGGGAGACTCCCCGTTATACCTATCCATTCATTCCTCTTCAGCTTTGTGACAGGAAGCACCGTTGCTACAGCCTGTGTAAAAGCTGTGCAGGCCTCTCCAGGTGATGGGTAGGACCTGACAGTGTTCTGTGAGGGTTGCTTCCGATTGGAAGAGGAGAAAAAGATCATTCCCATGTTATTAATGTACTCCTTTTCTGAAGTAAGGCAGATTAGCTAGGGAGAAGAAAAATTTCATCTAAATCCTATTTGTTATCCTCTTCCCAAAAACAAAACAAAACAACCCAACAAAAACCCCAAAACACAACCCCAAAAAGACAGAGATTTGATCATGAAAACATCTAGGGACAGTATTAGAAACAATATTTGAGAAATTAGGATAATGAGTTCCCCTATTAAGCTTTTAATATGACCATAGAGAGCAAAACACTCCTTTAGTTTTATGATGGAATTACTAATTAAATAGACTTAGGGAAGCTACACCTTTCCATTTTAGTTGAACAACAGAGAGAAACTACTTATTGTATGATATACATATCACAGTTTGAAATTTGCTTGCATTTCCTACATAAAGGACAGAAGAAAATCAAATTAGAAACTTTTTTTTTTTGCTTTTCAGAAAAAAATGAAGCGATTTTTCATGTGTTAGTCTAGCAGTTATTCCAGCTGCTAGATGGAAGATGTTCTTATACTGTGACATTTGTAACATCCTTAGGCAAGAATTGCACCTTACTTTCACAAATACCAATTCAGAATCTGATCTGTTTCCAGTATACATTTAATATGGGTTCCAGTACATCCAGTATACATTTAGACCCATAAAACAACAGCTAAAAATTGAAAAGCATGATCTCCAGTACAAGAGGAAGGTGATTTTCTTACTGATTAGGATAGCAAAATTTAAATCTATAGTACACTAAAGGATATTTTGTGAAAAATAAGGATAAATTCCCCACAGCAGTAAATCCAAACGAGCAAAATTAGTAAAATGCATTATCTAATATAAAGCTAATAAAATAAAACAGATTCTATTCCACTTTTTGTTAATATGTGCTTACAGACTCAAAATTGCTTATATGAAAATCAGGAGAGAGTATCAAACTTCTCATTTAAGAAAGGGAAGGTGGAAAGCAAAATGCAAACCAAATACATTAGAAATCCTGCCAGCACAGATTAAGTGTGAAAAATTCCCTCGAACCAGTACAAGATTTGAAAACATTAAAACTTCTGAAGAAAAGTGTCTAGAACTTTGAATACAAATAAAATAAAACCGTTAACGAACAGCAGCATGAAAATTATGATAATTTTAAGCCGTTCAAGCGAATCACGGACACTGCAAGAAAATAAACTGCAAGCACGTCTGCACAGCAAGTGGGTTACACAAACCCAACCATGGGGGGGCGGGGGAAGCGTTCCGATTGTTACGGCCGTGTACGTCGCGAGAATTTTTTGTCAGAGGGGTGTCATTTATTTCTTTACTTTGCAGACTGTGCAGCCCGGATAGACAGGCGGCGGCAGGCAATGGTCCGCCGCGCGCTGTGACGGGAGAGGGGAAAAACGGCGGGAACCCCGCCCCTCCTGGCGGCAGTCCCCAATCAGGTCGGCTCCCAATATATAAAAAGCCGGGCCCGGCCGCCTCTAGCGCAGATCTCGGCACAGCAGCGGCAGAGAGCGGTCATGTCTGGCAGAGGCAAGGGCGGGAAGGGGCTGGGCAAGGGGGGCGCCAAGCGCCACCGCAAGGTGCTGCGCGACAACATCCAGGGCATCACCAAGCCGGCCATCCGCCGCCTGGCTCGGCGCGGCGGCGTCAAGCGCATCTCGGGGCTGATCTACGAGGAGACGCGCGGCGTCCTCAAGGTCTTCCTGGAGAACGTCATCCGCGACGCCGTCACCTACACCGAGCACGCCAAGAGGAAGACGGTGACGGCCATGGACGTGGTCTACGCCCTCAAGCGACAGGGACGCACCCTCTACGGCTTCGGCGGCTAAAGCCTTGATCGCCCGCCCCCTGGACTATCCATCTCGAGAACCCAAAGGCTCTTCTAAGAGCCACCCACTGAGCCTGGAAAAGAGCTGTGTTGCTTCAAAGCTGGTAAAAGGAAAGTAAAACGCGCTTTAATTTTGTTATTAATCGTGTATTTTCATTAAATCATTCAGTAGACGATTAAGCGCTTAATATGTTAGGAAATGCCCTAGTTAAATAGATAAGGGAACGTATAAAGCTATTGATTTCGGTGTTAGCGTAATTGGGATCTAATGAGTAAAGGACTACTCTCACTCCTAAACACCCAGACTTTATGCTCCTGTTTCGAGCTGTTGAGCTGGCCCGGCTCAGAGAGAGCGATAAGCATCGTGCTACAGGCATCTCTCGTTGGCCTGTTTTTCACTAATTTGAGTAAACAGTACCAGAAGGGGATAATATGCGTTTGTATTTAACTTCTGTCAATCCCTGCAGCTCTCCACCCGTGGAAATGAACGGATTTCCAGGATGGGAGGTATCACAGCTAGTCGCCCCCTGAACCCTCACCTCATCTAATTATTATATTATTATTATTTTAATGAGCTATCCATTATTATTTGCATCCGCTGTGTTAAAGCTCAGACGCTGCTGCTTTCATTTCAGGGCTGCTGAAGCTGGAGCTGTTCCCCTTATCCGGAGTCAGTTCTGTCTTTGCCCAAAAGCCCTTCTTTACTCGGGCTCTATGGAAAACTTTCCTGGCCAGGAAAATACAGCAGAAATATGTAGTGGGGGAAAATGGAAAGCGTATGAACTACAAAGCCTGTATTTCAGCAAACTACAGGCTGGGAATACTACTTATAGTGTTTTCAACTCGTCTGAATTTCTTTCACGATATCTTGAATTGGAGCATTTTCACATGCGATTAATCTAAGTCTGAAAGCATTTACTGTATTACTCTACCAGCTGCGATATTATTTTCTACTATTTACTATTAAAGTTACACTATGGAAAAAACAAACAAAACCAACAAAAACCCACAATAAAAAAGAAAACCAATAAAAACACCCTAATGCAATACACCACCACCACCCCCCCAAAAAAACCCCTCATAACACCCGAGCGCTAAAATACGGTTATAAAGACTGTTTTTGAGAAAAACTTGTAAAACAATTATTTGTTAAAGCTCAGGTCTGGTTAAATTAGACCAAAAGACGCATGAATGTTGTACGCGTTCAGGACATTGCAAATTGCAATCATTCGTTTCCCTTTTAAACAATTTTACACAAAGGCTTTTAATTTCAAGGCAAGCTATAAAATTTGTTGTAATAAAAGAAAACAAGGGCGGCGAATGCAAAACGCGGGGGGGGGAAGCGCCGTTGGAGAAAAGGCGCGCGTTCCAGGCGGGCTTTTCGAATTCAAAAGCACCCAATAGCAACGCGGCGCTGCTGCCAGCCAATCAGGGGGGAGAACATGCTATAAAAGCCGCCGCTGCTGCCGGGCGCTGCCATTCCAGCGCAGCGCTTCCAGGAGAGCACTCGGGTTCCCTCAGAGCGATGGCGCGCACGAAGCAGACGGCGCGTAAGTCGACGGGCGGGAAGGCGCCCCGCAAGCAGCTGGCCACCAAGGCGGCCCGCAAGAGCGCGCCGGCCACGGGCGGCGTGAAGAAGCCGCACCGCTACCGGCCCGGCACGGTGGCGCTGCGCGAGATCCGGCGCTACCAGAAGTCGACGGAGCTGCTGATCCGCAAACTGCCCTTCCAGCGCCTGGTGCGCGAGATCGCGCAGGACTTCAAGACCGACCTGCGCTTCCAGAGCTCGGCCGTCATGGCGCTGCAGGAGGCCAGCGAGGCCTACCTGGTGGGGCTCTTCGAGGACACCAACCTCTGCGCCATCCACGCCAAGCGCGTCACCATCATGCCCAAGGACATCCAGCTGGCCCGACGCATCCGCGGCGAGCGCGCCTGAGGCTCCTGCTGCAGGTCCTCCCTCGGCCACCCTTCATCCCCGCACCCTAAAGGCTCTTTTAAGAGCCACCACATTGCATAATAGGGCTGTGACACTCTTTTTTTGATACTTGGGTAAAATAATTCTGAAGTTTCTATAAGGTAGTATAATGTTTGACTGTTTCATAACTAGCAAAAATCTCGTTATTTGTTTAGTTTCCTTCCCACCCTCCCCAGCTCTCTGCTCAGTTGATTTCTCTTGATACTGTTGTCAAGAGGCCTTTGCAATCAGATACCACAATTTGAATGAAAACATGTTTTTAGGCCTTCCTAAGCAACCCTCGAAAACTTTAGGGGTTTTAGCAGTCTTTTATATGCTTTTATAGGGAGGGGCTTGGAAGTACTTAATCGATTATGCAGGAATAATAACTTCACACATCAGAAAAAGGAGTACCTCACATAAGGGAAATGAAAAGTACTTTTTATTTAACACTCATGGTAAGAGCTGTAATCTTAAAAAAACCCGAAAACAACCACCACCTTAAAGCCTATAATAATAATTTTCCTTTCCCAACAGTTGATATTTCCAGTAAATATTTTATTTTGTAACTGGTTTATAGACTGCTGCATGTTTTCACTTTTAAGAAATGTGGAAGGCATAACCTGATTTAGTTTTAGATGATAAGCTTCAAACAGCTTTTTATTAGAGAAAAAAATATCTAAATATACTTTATCATTAATCTTACTGAATATACTCTAAAAATCCTAACGCTGGATTGGATCTGAGAGCTCTACATTTCTATGTATGAAATAAATAAAGCAAAAGTTCTAAGGGGATAAGCCTAATGCAAGGGATAAAAATAGAAAATTCAATAAATTAGTCTAATTATCTTTTATATTCTCAATTTTCTGTTTGCTATGAATTTGAGAAAGCCTGAAGCAGAAGATGAAGGCGAACGTGGAAAAAACAAAGAGAACCTTGTGTATGTTCCCGGTAAGTCCATCTTCCCATTTTCCAAATCCATGGGGAGTGCTGGCACAAAGGAAAGTTTTTGTGGATTTTGTTTGGGACTAAAGCAGGTGGGGAAAGGGAGCAGCTGTCAAACCGGGGCAGCTTTGTAACCGGTGAGAGCCCTGTAGGAAACATGCTTCTACGGTTTGGAGAACTGGAGAGAGGAGCATTTTGTGTTTGATGATAAAAAGGAAGTGGAGTCAGTAGAGGAATACACATGGGGATCAGAAGGTCATTTACGAGACTTTAGTTGATTCAGTTAAGTTTTGTTTTCAGGAAATCACAGTTGGCCTTTCATCCATTTCAGTTTCTTGCTTGACTGTGTGAAGTCTTGCAGACTCTTGCTGTTTTAACGTTTCAGAGAAGTCTATGCATTTCTATATAGTCATGTAAAAACCCAAACCCATTCCTTTGGTTTTTGCTTCTGTGTTGTCACAGCATCTTTACACTGCCCTTCCTATCCGAGTCTGGCCTGTTCTATACGCTTCTGTAACTGTTACCAGCCATATCTGTCTGAAGTGAAAATTCAGGTATTTGAGTGTATCTGAGGAATCCTGCAAGAAGTTTCATTGGGTGCGTTTCAGGAAGACTACACAGGAGGCAAAACACCGCAGGTACAAGAAATAATCATAGCATAATGATATAGGTATGGATACACACTTACATATGCTCATCCTTCACTCACAAATTTTAATTTCTCTTGGCACCCACCCACCTCTGTCTCTTTCCTAGTCCCTTCTACCCCAGCACCACCCAACTTTATCCATCTGGCTTTATTTTTTGAGATTCCAACAATACAATATGGTAGATGAAATGAAGGAAGCTACTTCACAGTTGGCCTTGACAATCGTTGTAGGGCTCTAAACTATTCTATTTTATTCATCTCTGTACATCACCACTTGCATAGTAAGGGGTGACAATTTTATGCAGTAGAAATTAGAAGTGCTCCTGCTGGAATAGCACAGAGACTTTGCCTATAAATTTAATTTAAAATGAATTATATTATTATAATTTTAAAATTAACTATATATTATAATTTTAAAAGTAACTGTGTGTTTGGTTAAATTGTAAGACTTCAGTAGGCTCCATACTGATTCTAATTGTTGTTCCAGGTTGGCAGGGTCTGATTAACTGGACTGAAAGTTTGTAGCAAGGCCCCACTTCAAGATTAGCAAAAGTTAAAAAGTTAAAGCCTCAGAATTGTTAGAATTGTAAATTAAGAGTAAGGTCACAGGGTGAACAAACCCAACCACACTCGGTGCACACCCAGGCTCTATAAGGAGCCCCCACTGATCAGGCTGAGGAATGTGTTCTCAAAAGTGGGTGAGGAAATTATTCATCATCATTGATAAGTACTCAATATCTTGTCTGTGTTACCAGGTCATGTATCAGTGCCATCTAGTAAGATTGCTAAAAAGGCCTAGGTAGGATCTTACTGCAACTGCATCACCAATGTGATAGTTGTTAGAAATAGGACTGAGGTTTTTTGTGGTTTCCTTTTTTATTATTTTTATTTTTTTCTTTCTTTCTGGTTAACATTAACTATGCTGCAGGACAACAACAGTAGAAGCAAGGACAGAGGTTATGCTTTTGTCATCAGACTTCTAAGAGAACATAGAACTTCTATTGGAAGGTGTTCTTCACTCCCAAGGCTTGAAGTGCAAAGTATTCTCACGTCGTGCTGCCTCTAAAAGCAATGCAGAAGTCTCAGTTATGTTATAGCATAAAACTTCAATTTCCAAGCCTGCCAGTATTTTTTCTCTGTATCACTTGAGTGTTGCGACGGAGGGAAGACATGAGCACTCAATATGAGTGACCAGCAAGCTTCGTTTATTTAGACACACTACCATTCTTTTATGCACACTCATAATTAGCTCATACATATTGCAAAATGAGAGCTCATTATTGGTTAGTTCTAAAAAGACAGTTCCACCCGAAATTCCTTTCTTACAGTTACATGTTTACCTTATCACAGACATTCTGTTGTTGGACCACAGCTGCCTTCAAGGCCAGAAGAACAACTTCAAGGCCTTGCAGTTATTGGGAGCTAGATAAGCTGAATACGGTGCTTATTAAGCTCTTGCTGGGCTAGCTGACCCTTCTCAGCTAGCCAGTCTCCCACACTTGAGTTTCTTTTATTCATTACACATACCAAAAAATGTTTAATTTACATACAAATACATAAATAGAAGTGAAATCTGTATTAAAAATAAAATAACAAAAAAGTATACATTCTGTTCGAAAGAAATGAAATAAAAAAATAGATTAGCTCCACTGTTCACTGCAGACTGCACAGCCATTCCATTCATCACTTGGTAACATTGCACCTCTCCACTTCCATTGCAACCTGGTTTCAATCTAGTGCCATGAAGATCAGCAGACTTGTTGAGGGACTTTATGTGGGAGGAAAAAAATGAAGGAAAAAAAAAGAGAAGAGGAAAGAACCCCCCAAACAAACCTTAATCTTGGCTGATTGCTACACTTGGCAAGTATTTGCACCTTTTTTTTTTTTTCTCATTCATGATGCTGTCTCTGACAGATTGTGTCCCCAATGCAGCAAGGATGGCTAAGAGAAAGCACACAAATGAGGTTCAGAACCTTCTAATGACAAGAGGTGACCCCTCTGCCTTCTAATGGCTCCCCTCAGTGCTACCCAGTACATCCCAAGCACCAACCATGAGCTTTGGCAGCTGGGAAGATCTTTCCCAATATAACGGGAGAAAAAACAACTACTTTCTCATAGGAATCTGAGACCTAATTTTTAACTTTGCCCCCTTCTTTTTTTAGGCTCATTTTTTTGTCACTCCTGCGTGCTTGTCTCAGTAATGATTCGAGCAAAGGACGTTTGAAAGGTACATGAATACATAGAATTATATCCTGGCAGTATCTTCTGAAGAATCCTAGAAATCTGACTGCAGAAAGCTAACAAATTTAACATATTTTCTGATCGCTTGTCAGAAAACTTGTGCTCAATCTCTGGGGAAGTACAAGTTCAGAGACAAATACATTACATTATACAGTACACTCAATATTGGAAGAATACACAAATTTCCAACCCAAGATTATAATACAACTCTTAACAGAAATACAGGAACACCCCACTTAGAAAATAAGTAAATCAGTAACTAGACAAAATTTTTCCACGTTTTTTTAATTATCAATAGTAACAAATCTGATAGTTATTGCTGTGTACCATACATTCCAATCACAGTTTCTCGGCCATTTTAAGTAGGTTTCTCTGCTGTGAGAAAGAAGCCCCCAGCACCCAGTCTCATCAGCGTGGTCATCCATCTTTTTTTGAGACAAACACTGTTGCTCCCGGCATTAATAAATGCTGGAGCAAGGGGACAGCCCCCTTTAGAAGGCCTCCTTGGCCAGGTTCGACAGCAGGAGTTCCAGCGAGCTGCAGGAAGTGTCTGCTCTTGCCTAGACCCAACCAGCCAGGAGGGTTAAAGGTGCAGAATTCCTCAGCCCGAGCCCGTCCGGGGCAGAGCCACGTCCCACCCACGGTCCCCTTCACAAGCCCTTCCCCCTCGATCCCTTCTACCTCAAAGCAGGTTCGAGTTCTGGGCAATCACAGCGACGGACAAACCTCCATTCTGCCTGCGGGGTTTAGAAAAGACGAGGTTATAGCAGTCTATGTAGCAAAATATGAAAGAAATAAAATAACAATGCTAAAATTAAGAGCTGGGGCATAAAATTAAATGCTAGAGTCTACGAAAAAACTTAAGGAAACATTAGCTACTTCTACAGCATACCCGCTTATAAGGCGTTACAGCTCCTTTTATTGTTGATGTAGTGGCTCTTAAAAGAGCCTTTGGGTCTGTGTGGGCTGCCTCGGTGTGTGCTGGAGCCAGGGAGGGGCAGCGTCGGGAGCCTCAGGCGCGCTCGCCGCGGATGCGTCGGGCCAGCTGGATGTCCTTGGGCATGATGGTGACGCGCTTGGCGTGGATGGCGCAGAGGTTGGTGTCCTCGAAGAGCCCCACCAGGTAGGCCTCGCTGGCCTCCTGCAGCGCCATGACGGCCGAGCTCTGGAAGCGCAGGTCGGTCTTGAAGTCCTGCGCGATCTCGCGCACCAGGCGCTGGAAGGGCAGTTTGCGGATCAGCAGCTCCGTCGACTTCTGGTAGCGCCGGATCTCGCGCAGCGCCACCGTGCCGGGCCGGTAGCGGTGCGGCTTCTTCACGCCGCCCGTGGCCGGCGCGCTCTTGCGGGCCGCCTTGGTGGCCAGCTGCTTGCGGGGCGCCTTCCCGCCCGTCGACTTACGCGCCGTCTGCTTCGTGCGCGCCATCGCCAACCAGACACAGAACTCCCTTGGCCACACCGAACACTGCGCTGAGGGCTTCTCAGCGCCGGTATTTATAGAGCTGTCTCGCCTCTGATTGGCTGGCAGCAACGAGTCCTCATTGGCTACCTCGGAAATCTCTGCCAGGACCCAAGCAACAGCCGCATCTGCCGCCTCCCGTGCCCCCGCCCCCGTCTCCCATCCCCGCTCCCAGCCGCGGCTCCCTCGGGGCGAGTCCGAGGCCTGTGGGGGGTCTGGGGGCTGTATTTCAGACACAGCTCTCGCATCCCTTCTGCTTCTCCGGGTTTCCCTCTCCGTTAGGCTCCTGACATTAAAAACCTTTTGAAGGCTCAAATTCAGGTGCTGTTCTTAAATCTGCAAATTGTTTTAATTGACTTTTTTTTAATGGGATGATTGGAAAAGCAAAAATGTTCCTTCGATGCCGAACAGAGCTCCCTGTAGGTATCAGGCGATCTTTCCTTTGTGGCTTTGGAGATAATGTGTTTTTTACTTCGAAACACAGAGGCAGACGCTTAAGAAATCCTATAATGCAAGTTTGTAGCTGTTAACAAGGGTGTAACAAGCTGTACCAATACAGATGCATGTTTCAATCTATTTTTCTCATGTTATTTTCTTATCACCAGGAAAATTGACATGAGATTAGTACCTCCAAGAAAAGTCAAGACTTTGAGAATACTTTAAAAATGAACTTGTGAAATGACATATAAAGAAATGTGGAAATACTGTCTTAATTAATTAGCCCCTACTCGTTAAGGCTGTGAGAAAACCAGGAGTCACCGCAAATATTTATTGATCTCCGTTGTCTTTAAGTGGTCAATGACTAGCGGTAATTCAATATAAACCTGAAAAACTGTTTTTTCAACTTTTTCTTCCAGTGATGAAGGCAAGAATACAGCAATAACTTAGTAGGGCTTCTCGGAGAGAATGCAGAATTGCGAGAATGAGAACCTTTGCATAAGACTCCTATATCCCTGGCAGGGACATAATTTCCTGTCATGGTGTGTCATGTTTCCCCATCCTCCCCCCAAAATACATACTCTAGAAAACGGTGTTAGATTTACCAAGACTGCTTTGAAAAATAAAATTAAAAAAAAAACGACAAGGAACTAAGAACAGGTTATAATAAAGAAAAATATTTATTTAGAAACATTTGAAAGAAAAAGCTTATCTCAGACTTTGATATTTTCTCTTCGTTTCCCTTTCTTCCTTACAGTAAATTAACAACTCAGTAAAATGAAATTTTTTTTTCAAACGGTGAATATTCTAGGTAATGTTTAAATCGGCAAAGGTTGTAAAAATATGCAAAAGAAAGCATTGCTTTGATTACAAAGGGCACTTAATCATCTTTAGCGAAGTACAAGGTTTGCAAGGGAGTTTAATTACACAAATGAAAAATAGTCTCTTTCACACGACTTCTCTATTAACAATCAAATTCAAACATCGGCCCGCACTTATTTTAACGAAATATATAGTGCCAATTTCAGTAAACTTTGGAAATTAGATAGAAGTTTCAAATATGCTTTCAGGGAAAATGTCACAGCTCCTTAGAAGGAAAAAGTGGGCGGCTCTTAAAAGAGCCTTTGGGTTCTCGAGATGGATAGTCCGGGGGTGGCAGGCGATCAAGGCTTTAGCCGCCGAAGCCGTAGAGGGTGCGTCCCTGTCGCTTGAGGGCGTAGACCACGTCCATGGCCGTCACCGTCTTCCTCTTGGCGTGCTCGGTGTAGGTGACGGCGTCGCGGATGACGTTCTCCAGGAAGACCTTGAGGACGCCGCGCGTCTCCTCGTAGATCAGCCCCGAGATGCGCTTGACGCCGCCGCGCCGAGCCAGGCGGCGGATGGCCGGCTTGGTGATGCCCTGGATGTTGTCGCGCAGCACCTTGCGGTGGCGCTTGGCGCCCCCCTTGCCCAGCCCCTTCCCGCCCTTGCCTCTGCCAGACATGCTGCCGCTGGAACCGGGGAGTAGAGTGTGGTGAGGGTGGGTCGGAGCGTGGCTTTTTATATATTGGGAGCCGACCTGATTGGGGACTGCCGCCAGGAGGGGCGGGGCTTGGGGCTCGTTCCCGCCACAGCTCCCCTCTTTCCCCGTGGCCCGCCCCGCTCTAGCGCAAAAATGCAAGTTTCTGTTCCCGCGGCACAAGCGGTTCCGTGTTGCTGCCCTTCTCCCGCACTTTCGGGCCTTCAGATACCAAAGTCATTGGGCCTTTCGGCGCAATACTTTATACATTTTTAAAAGTCTTTGATACGTCGCGATCTTTAGAATAAAAACCTCCATCACAGAAAGGTATCCCAGTTACATTATCTCCTAAATTACTCTTTCTGTGTCTTACTGTAATAGTTATTTTAAAATATGGATACATGTTACGCATTGCAATTTCACCCGGTTGCATTGATTCTCACGTTTGGCTTCTGTGGTTTAAACCGCTGCTTCTCCTGGTTGTTTTTTAATGGAGCGTCTTGCAGCAAATTCTGTCCAATCATGTTTCTGAGAAATTCTACCCCTCCTTGAATTTCTCTCTCAACTCTGTTTCCCGCCCTTTCGGAAGGTTTTCTCAAGGAGAGTTCAGCTGGAAAGGGACGCTATTTTTTTTAATGTAAACGGATTTTTTTGATGGATATCTACACTGTTTCTGCTCATTTGGTGGGATAGACAATAACATGGCAAATTTTTAGAGAGAATTAAAAATTAAATATGTAAAAAAAGCATGTTTTTTTCCTTCAATTCAGCTCTGGTTCTACCTTCTTTTGGGGAGGAAAAACTTTCTGAGGTTTTTACTGTTTAAAACAAGAAGCAGTATTTAACAAAAGTCATTTGGTAGCTGTCATTTGACCCGAAAATGATCAGAAAAGGTGAAAAAAGTTTCCAGTACTGAGCGTTTGCTGCCCTCTCATGGACGCTGCTTTTCGTGGTTGGTTGGTTGGGGTTTTTTTCCTTTACAAGCTGCGTGGCTGTATATTATGTATCCTTTCATAAACATATAACGTAAAATTTATCAATAATCAGTCTCTATTTTCGCATAGGCCACAGATGCAGATGATACACCTGCCAGCAGAGAAATCACTCTTTCAGTGGGCCCTCACTGGCAGATGAAATTAATGTATTCCACCATGGTGTTCATGCACAATCTTTTTGGTACAGGCCCAAAGAAAACCCAAAAAGAACAAGACAAACACCAAGACTCTGAAGGAGACACCCTAAAGGCTCAAACTGGTAAAAAGTGTCCTGTTCCACAAGGAACTTAACAGTATCCTAGGCTGGGCTATGAAAATAATTCTGGAATACAGTGGGGAAGCCACAGCTCAGTTCATGCTGTTCCCTTTCCTGAGGCCAGTTTGCTCCTTCCAGGGAGGGAAGTTCAGTGCCTGTGACTGGACTGTTGTGGGACATCAGGCCACTATGAGAAACTGGGCACTCTGTAGCCAGCTCTTCTGTCATTCCCAGGAGATTTTGAAAGCAAGGTAGCTGCAGTGGTAAAGACACTTGGTGTAACGTTTGCTACAGGTTTATTGTGCTTTGGGTACACAGAGCAGTCCCCAGGATGTTCCTAACAGTGTAGTTTAGCACTATCTGCTGCAGAGCTCCCTGAACCCCTTCTACCATGATGACCCAGTTCTTCAGTTTGCTCAATTCTTGGGAATCTGACTGTATCACAGATTCCCCAGGAGTTATTACCACTTGCAGACCCCCACCATGAAGTTACTGGACAAACCTGGGCTTTATAAAATGACATCTCCATACCATTCCTGATGAGTTGTCCAGTTCTGGAAAGCTGAGGTTTTGTTTCTGCTTTTTTTTTTTTACTGGATAAAATTAAGTTAGAGCTTCATGCTATAACTCTGATCCATAATTGGTTGTTTCTTCCCAGGAATCTATGACTACATATAATATTTCCCCATGTCTCTTGCTGTCTGAGTCCTTGTCTCCATGCTCTCCTTGGTAAAATGTCAGAATCTGTTAGGAAAACCATTTTTTTAAAATAAGTAGATACATATTCATGTAGTAAATTCATAGCACTGATTTTTAACTCATGACAGAAATTCATGTAATGAAATATAGCAAGGTTGGAGCCAAGCTCCCTCTCTTCTTCCCTCCCATGTGATTCCAAGTCATACATTAAATTTCATCTGGCCTCTTAGGCCTGTCTGATAAAATCAAACTGTAAATGTTACTTGAGAGAAATGCATCGTCTTCTGGAAAGCTGCTGAGATTCACAGAATCATTTGCTTTGGAAGGGATGTTCAAAGATCATCTAGACTACCCCCCTGCTGTGGGTGGGGGCATCTTCCATTTGATCAAGTAAAAGTCTCATCCAACCTGACTTTGAACACTTACAGGGATGAGGCATCCACAGCTTCTCTGGGCCACCTATTCCAGTGTCCCACCACCTTCCTCATAAAAAAATTCTTCCTTATGTCTAATCCAAATCTACCCTTTTCAGGTTTAAAACTACCGTGCCTCGTCCTGTCACTACAGGCCCTTCTGAAAAGTCTTTTTCTGTCTTTCTTATAATCCTCCTTCATATATTCAGAAGCCATATAAAGAGCAACTTGAGGGTGATACGGGGGCCTGAGAGACATACGGTGATCAGACAGTGTGGCAGTGAGTCAATAATTTAAGATAAGCTATTTCTGAGGGAGGATCAGTCTGAAGTTGTGCTCATCCACCCCCGTAACTGAAATGAGTGGGAATCCACAGGGCTAACAGTGCACAGGCTGAAGGGAAGGAGCAGGAGAAATTATGAGTTAGGGAGACTGACCGATAGGCCAGTGCAATTGGCACTAACATGGCATTAACATGACATTACCCTTGTCCCTGCAAGCTCATTTTCCTCAGGCCGCACTTGCTCTTTGTCACTGCATTCCCCTTTTCCAGCTGGGAAAAACAATCTCCTGTAGGTACCTATGCTATGCTGCCCAGCTCGGCTTTAAAATTAAACAGTAATTTGTGTTTAGATATTAATTTTGTCCCTGTACTTGACAGTATATGCAGTGGAGCCTATGTAGCTGGTTCATTCAGTGTTCCTGCAGACACATACACTTCCTTTCTGTAGCACAGAACAATTTCTACATTATTTGGCAGATATCTCCAGCTAAGGACTATAAAGTCTATTCAGCTGAACCCACAGCTATATACTCCTTGCCCATAAAAGTATTTTAGACTGGTATCATTGTACTTAGGCTGGTGTTCTCCAGCACCACTTGTGTTCAGTGATGTGCTAATCTTCTAAATCTCAGCTACTGCAATGTCTGTGGTGGGTAACTGCTCCAACTGAATTTTCTTACAGAACAGTTATAATAATTTGAGTTTTCCCTCTCACCTCTCCCTGTGCTGTCATTACCCCAACTCATTCCAGAGGTCGAACTGTTTGTTCCCAGGGCATCCTGCTGAGGTCTGCTCAATTAGCCGGGATGTGTGTGATACATTTTTGCCGATGCTACTGCAACTGTTTCGGTTTTGTCCTTTCCAACTCCTCTGTAAAGAAAAAAAGCCTGATTATCACATTTGCTACAGGAGTGTACATGTTGCTTGACCATACCCAGTCAAAACCTACTCCTTTCCGACTAGTTGTAGAGGGATGGAAAATCATAGTTGATCCACTCTCCTCAGTTTCATCCAGTTGGGAGAAACCCTTTGAGACTTAGTGGGTGTGACTCCCAACACCCCTCCCTTATGGTAACTGTAAGAGTCTGATAGGCCCACCTCCATCCCAAACAGGGGCACAGCCATGTCAGCTCAGGCTGTCAGGATGCAGGGATATGCCCTGATAATTTCAGGAACGAAAAAGGTGGGATATGTATGCAGGTTTCTATGTTACATAGGGAAGAGTTCATAAACCTGAGAGAGGACCAAAAAGTCAGATGCACCCTAAGCAGCAATACAGAGGAAAAGTAAGAAGAGTGTTTCAGGAACTGGGCTTAAAAACAGAGGCTCTGTTTTGCATTTCTTTCCCTTTTACCACAGGGATTTAGGATGTGGACAGTGTGTGCAAAACCGCAAATATCCAGTCAAATCCAATCCCACCACTTCTTCTCCAGGCTGCAGGGGACCCCGTTTCTGAGCAATCCCTTCAAATACACGAGGTTAACAGCTGCGGATCTGAGATTAAGCGTCTTTGTTGAGAGCTGAACGGCTAATTCCATTAAATTTCACGTTCTCCTGCCCTCTGGGGAAGAGGACCCCTGCGCCCTCCCCTTCTCCCCGATTTCTTTCCAGCCGCTGGCGCCCCTAACAGCGCTCAGCGTGGCGCGGGGCATCGCTTGAGCGCGGAAAAGTCGAGAGTAAGGTCTAGTGACTGGGAAAAGGCGGCGGCCGCAGGGTTGGGGGCAGGGAGGCTGCGACCCCCGCGGGTTCCTACCGCTCCCGGCGCTGCCTCCGAGCGGCCCCGTTACCCAAACGAGCCCGGCGGCTCCGAGGGGCTCCAGCACCGAAGCGGAGGCGGGGCGGGCAGCAGCGGGGGCGGCTCGAAAGGCCCGTGGCTGTCGGGCACGGCTGGCCCTACGATCCGCAGGGAAGGGATGGAGTCGCAAGGGACAGAGGTGCACTGGGAGTGAAAAAGCCCCTGAGAGGGGAGGAAGCGACCCAGGAAGCTCCTAAACCTCTTCCGCCGAGGAAGCGGCGCGTCTGTTTAACCCGAAAACTGCCGTGCAGCAGGAAAGCCCAAGAGCCGCGGCCAATCTACGAGCAGCGCGGGCTTTTCGAAAGGGGTAGAGCCCCCGGGGGGGGGAGGAGGCGGGAGCGCTCCCGAGCGCGGCTCCGCGTCCCCCGCCCGATCGGAGAGAAGCTACGGGGAGTCGCGGCGCTT